GTTATTTTCTCCTGATGATCTAACCAGTAAGTCTGTTGTTTCAACAGAAACAAAGTCCTTCAGATATAGCATTTAGTGGGTTGAGACAAACCATTTTCCACTGACAGGGATGCTTACAATGATCAGTTTTAATTTATGTAACACCTTTATCCCAAAGGGAAGAAAACTGTTGCTGTAACTGCTTAAAAAAGTGTTAGCTGGAGTTTGGCTTCAATTTATTAGTGTATCTAACTCTGCTAGTCCATCTCACACTCCCCCAGATTAACAATGCTGATGTCTGCTGTGCCCCCTGTGCTCCTTCATCAAGAATGGAGGAACTCTATTACAAGAGGTGTGTTACTGGCGAGATCACCAGGTGAAAACAGAGGGGGAAAAAAAAACAAAACAAAAATGATGCTGCCATCACATATAATGATTGAAGTAATGAGATGTACTTTATGTTGCCTATATGCAGCTTAAAGTGGTTGTAAACCTCAGACATGAAATATGAACAAATCATGGCCCTCTATAGTGTGCACTTGTCTCAATCCAGAGCACTAAGTGTCTACTGCCTCCTTCCTCTACCATTAGCATGAGTCACTTCTGACAAGTTTTCCTGACACCAAGAGAAAAATGGTGTCAGGGGAGGGACCCCAAGCAGATTGACAACCTCAGCTCTGTTCTTGTGAGCTGTGTAAAAGGGGTGGGGAGAGAGTTCCTTCCTTCCAATCAGCTCTCAGAGCTCTCCTCGCTCCTGTGCAGTGTGTAATTTCAGCTTCCTGCCCCCTTTTTTCTGAACTCTCAGACAAGCTTTATAACTACAGCACTTTGAATGGCTGTAGAGAAGAGAAGATTGCAGATATACTGGTCCATGTTATGTAAGAGGATTTGTTTCATCTCGGTGTATCACCTGAGGATAGTCACTTCACTGGGTATATGGAAGGTTTTACAACCACTTTAAATTTTTTCATTTTGACTGGAGTATACTTTTAAATCAGTGACAAACCTCTGCCATAGCAGCACATGTGGCCTCTTTGGGACCCACGATAGACTTCCTCAGTGTGGTCTGCAGCACCACTGGGTAGAGGTCTTAAAATATGGAGGAGGTAGCCAGAAAGGGGAACTGATCTTGTCTGAAAGGATTAAAGAGGGGGACGCTGATTTAGGTCTGAATGGGTTAAAGAGAGGGGGCTGATCTGAGGTTTGAAGGATTTTAAAATTAAGTAGCTTTTTGGTACACACATCCCTCCACTGGCAAGACATGTTTCCTTCCACTAACACCAATCCATTTTTTTTCTCCAAATGACGTAAACTTTTTCTGTCTCACACTAACGCAGAACATTTTTTCATGCAACATCTCCAAAATACGTCTGTTCCTAACCCCGGAAACCACTAAGCAACTCATTCTCTCCCTTATTATATCACGACTTGACTACTCCTCATCGGCTTACCCCACCACAGGCTATCCCGGCTTCAGTCTATCCTGAATACTGCGGCCAGACTCATCCACCTTACTAACCGCTCCGTATCCGCCACCCCCCTCTGTCAATCCCTCCACTGGCTTCCAATTGCCCAACGGATAAAATTCAAAATGCTAACATTGACGTATAAAGCTGTTCATAATACTGCCCCAAAGTACATCACCAATCTGGTATCCAAATACCAACCAAAACGTACTCTCTGCTCCTCACAAGACCTCCTACTCTCTAGTTCCCTGGTCTCCTCCTCCCATGCCCATCTCCAGGACTTCTCCAGGGCTTCCCTCATCCTCTGGAACTCCCTACCCCAATCCATCAGACTATCACCTACTCTCCTCATTTTTAGGCGCACTTTGAAAAACCCATCTCTTCAGGGAAGCCTACCCCACCCTTAGCTAATTACCGATTTCCTCCACTCTTCCTACCACTGCATCCCCCACAGCCATTTCCTCCTGTACCACTATCCCCTCCCTCCTAGATTGTAAGCTCCAAGGAGCAGGGCCCTCGAACCCCTTGTGTATTGAATTGTATTGTTACTGTACTGTCTCGTGTACTGTCTCCCATTATAATGTACAGCACTGAGCAAACTGTTGGCGCTATATAAATCCTGTTTAATAATAATAATAATAATTGACTCCTGGGTATTTTTAACTACCACTAACCATTGATGCCATGTCTTTTTCTACTACTGAGGCCATATTTCCTCTGCCTAAAGCTGGGACTTTTTTTCCAACCACTGAAAATGGCATCAGGCAATTTTTCCTCCACTGACCAATGATGCCAGGCATTTTTTCCTGCACTGACCAATGATGCCAGGCAGTTTTTCCTCCACTGACCAAAAATGACAGGCATTTTTTCCTCCACTGACTAATGATGCCAGACAATTTTTCTTTCACTGAATAATACCAGATAATTTTTCCCCCCGGACCACCAATAGCAAAGCATTTTTTTCTCTCCTACTGACCAGTGATGCCTGTCATTTTCCCCCCACTGGCCAATGTTGCAGGACATGGAAAGGGGCACTGTGTAATCTAATCCTCTTACCCTGTCAATGCATGGCAAAGTGACAGACTCTTTGCAAAGGAGCCCACCTGACCCTCTTACAGTCATGTTGGCTCACTCTCACAACTCCTTCCTCCTCTGCAGCTGCATTGAAATCTAAGATGCTGATAACTGTGACAGTCCTTGGACCTAGTGATTGGAGTTATTAGCTGAGCACTTTCACAGAAGAGATCATGTAGTCCCTCTGGGTATTGTATCACAGGCTGTAGAGGAAAAAGGAACGGCGATGAAGCACTTTGTCAAGGTAAAAATGACTGGGTTGAGGGCGTCCCTTTGTAGCGCACTGAAAATGTGCCCCTCATTGGCTCTTTATACAAAGTACACTATTGTGTTTTTTCTAGATCCCCTCGCTGAAACCCACACTGGGCAATTTTGGGGAAAGCATCCAGAAGGAATATAGGGAGGCCTTGTCAAACTTAAACCAGAGGGATGCCTTAGCTCCCAATATCTGCAACTCTTTTCTTAATGACTCTTAAGCAAACCTTGGCAAAATCCGCTACCCCAACAGTAAAATAAGCTGAGCAAAAGGTGTCTTGGTAAGTGATAAAATGAGAAACTTTCAGTAATACTACCCAAGTCTGTATCTAAACTTCAATGGGTCTGGAAGCCATGGATAATGCATTACACACTTCCAAAGGTAGACCATATATTGCTAACTATCTGATGAGCACCTAGCTAGACTACACCACCCAGAGTCTCCCTTCCCCCTTACCTACTCCTTCTCCTCCTTTCCAACTCCCTTTTCTATCTCGTTCTTCTACTTATTTATACCTCTTCCTCCTTTCTGCACACTGATCCTTTTTTTGGCTTTATCCCTTTTCCATTGCTTATCTCTCTCTGGTTCTATGTTGGCACTTATGACCTCATCTAACAGGCCATTGGGCCATAACCCACAGGTTTATTAACCCATGTACACAGGCTTATACAAAATGTCTTTGTTTCATTGTACATTTATTATTATTATTAAGTGTTAAGGTTGTATTCTGTGTATCCAATGTCATTGCCTGCTATGTCCATCATTGTACGAAATGTGTACTAAAGTGCTTTGTGTAAATGTAGGAAAACCCAATAAAAAGCTACTGTAACAGGAAGGTAGGCAGTTGTTATCAGAGCCACTATATCGATTACCAAGTTAATGAGTTAACAAGTAAAGCTGGTAAAGGTAAAGCTGGTGTACTCATGGTCCCAGGATGGTCTCAGGATCAGTGCCAGATGTGGCCTCTGTGGAGGTCCATAGGAAGTTGAAACCTTGGAGCACCCCTCGCAGGTTTCTGGAGGCTTCTCAAGCGTGTGTTCTAATGAGATACCATTGAACTAAGTAGTGTGCACATTAACTGCGAGATGGAGATGACATTACACACATTACACACATGGAGGTTGCACTTAATTTTTGTTACAAACTAACAGCTGAAAGAAGACAAGTGTTTAAGATACAAACTGTAATGTGAACCTGATGTCTATGGTGTATGCAGTTTAAGTTGTTGTTGGGTACATTACATTAATATAGTATTTTCTCCATAGAGTCTTCAATGTACAGTTTTAGTTTCTTTGAGTTAATTCATTTTTTTTAATCTTTTGTAAACAATTTAAGAAAGCTTCATTCTAATTTTCTTTCAAGATCAAATCAGTATTATTTTGATCCGTTGTTGTCGGGCCCATAGGCCAGTGCCTATTCTGCTTATTTGGTAATCCGGCAAAGCCCAGGATGTTAACTGGCCAATATCTATCAATATATCTGGACAAGTTTGAGAAAGGAGGTGACAGCCTGTTACACTGGAGTTCAATACCTATGTTCTCATAGGAAAAACCTACATAAGCTAAAACAACAAGCTAAAGCCGCAATCTCTCATACATGGTGGAAACAACTGTGAGGCTGTGCTCATAAAGGCAATTGTTTACAGGCAGGTAAAAATAAGTGTAGCAAATTCTGTGGGCATCTTTTGCTAATAATTACAAAATCAAATAAAAGATCAGAATATAGACTGCAGATGCTGTGTTAGACCGGGATCCCATATTATTATGTGTTTAATTTGGAAAATGAAGTCTGATTACAGGCACTGTTCAGTATTGAGAAATTGTGAAATTAGAACTTTGACCACTAGATGGTGGTAGTGCTTTTAGGAATTGTAAACATTTGCTATGCTGGGAAGTTTAGCCATTGTATTAATCCCATTGCTCACTGTCACTTACATGTACAGTATATGCATGTTGCCTGGGACACTTTACAGGTATCTCTGTTTTGCCATTTCTATTTTTGTGAAGGGAACATAAAAACAGAAAATATGACAGAAAGTTCTTAAAAGCCACAAAAGTATTATGCAACTGCTAACAGTATATGTGTAGCACTAAAAAATGTTTTTCCATCCTCTCATAAATTGGGATTTCTTGAGCAAGAACAGTTTGTCGAAAAAAGTAAAATGCCTGAGAAAATGTAAGTCAAAAAATAGGACAACCAGAATTTTTTACTTACTGACAGATACTTCAATCAGTTCTGCAAATGTAACATTTTACCTGAACAGGTCGCCCATCATCTTGTCCAATCATATTTCTCCATTCAAGCAAAGAACGCTGAATACTTTCAAGTCCAGTCTCCCATAGCCTAACGCTACCACCCATATCGACTGTGACAACGCCACTGTTTCCATGTGCAGCCAGCAGAATGTCTGTGTCTGTTATTTTCGACAGCCAAGATGTGTACGGGGACACTGATACAGCTCTGAAACACACAAGATTGTAGCTGTTCATACCAGTAAATGAAGAAAAAGAAATCAGATCATGACTCAACAACAAAATTATAAGAGAAGATAAATATAATAAATTGTCACATTTTCAGGACAATTATATAAGGCAAGCCAATTAAATTACTGTAAATCTCAATGTGAACATACAGGTACTAGATTCTGATTAAAACTTTGAAAAGTAATTATATATAGCACCTAGAATGAACACTTCAAAAAAATTGTTTTGGTTTACGGATTTAGTAGTATGCAACATTATGTATATCGTCGGTAACGCTAGGTTCACACTACCAAAATGCAATTTTGACATGATTTGCAATGTGATTATGTAGTTTGACTTTGGTTGAGTTTCAGATGTGGTTTGCAAATCGCACTGTAAATCAAACAAAAGTAGCACAGGACCCTTTGCAAAATCACAACTGTGCTGCATTACTGTGAACAGGCACCATTGGAAGCAATGTTATTTCCAATGTCATGCGATACAGTGCGACTCAAGTCAAATCTGAAATCGTATCAATGTGCATCAGGCCTTAGACAATGCATAGAGCAGATATTTGATGGCTTTATGAGAGGTTATGGAATTGATATGAGGTTCTTGTAGGCTAGATTCACACTATTGCAGTTTCCCTGTGGCCATGTTTAATTTGAATGGGCTGCCGTACCTATGGAAAATGCAGGGAAAAGGTCATAGCCACAGGGCTATGCGGTTCCAGCACATGAAAACGTGCTATGGTTTCCAGTGAATGGGGCTGCCATTAAATATTAATGATACCTGCATCAGCTAACAGCAGCATGTTTTTTGTGGCAGGTGCAATTGAAATGCAAAAATGCAAAAAATGTGCAATTTCCATGCAGTCCCGCACCTGTGGAAGTGTAAAACTAACCTAAGCTAGGTGCGCATTTCTGCATTGGGGGTACGTGTGCAAAATTGGGCGTGTTCCCACAATGCACAAAAAAATGTGCATCCTTTTTTTGCAGGCACCCAATAGTTTCATTAATTCTTAATGGTGCCACAAAACGGTAAGCGCCAAAATGTGTGGTAATAAAGTACCATGCATTTTGGAGTTGCACAATTTTCTGTGCAATTTGCACACATAAGGCAGACAACTGAAATGAACTAGCTGCACTAAACATGACATGCAAAATTGGGCACGCAGCGTTGCATAGGTTTGGACAGAACCTTAGGTCTTACCTCATAATTCTGTTACTTATATGATACTAAATTATTCTCATAAATATAAAATGAAAGCTTTTAATAATATTTATAAGGCCTCATGTACACTGCTGTTCCTAAATGTGAGTTTAGGAGCTTTTGGCGGTTTTTTCCAAAGCCCCTGAACTCAACTAAATAAAAGCCTGTGTACACATAGGCTTTTACCAGAGTTTAGGAGCAGCAGAGTTTAGGGGCAGTTAAACATTTCTCAACTGAACATAGAATAATCACGTTCAGGAGAAAAACGTTTTGGCCAAAAAACGCTAAGCGCAGCAAAAACGCATGTAAACGCTAGCTGTATTTAGTACTTAGCGTTTATCCAGGTCAATGGAAAATACTCTGGCCAATCAAATGAATAAACATCCAAGCATTAAATGTAGCAAAAAGTGGCTAAAACGCAGTACCGCGTTTACGTGTGTTTTTGCTGCATTTATCATTTTTCTGCTGCCAGGAGAGTTTAATAACAACTAGGTGAGTTCATGTGTATATGAGGCCTAATAGATCTGTCAATGTAAAAAGCCTGATAATAAAGAACAAAGAAAAAAAGGTTCAATATACAGAAAATTAAATGCACAAATCTGTTGATTTTCTGTGAAAATGTTGTCATGAAAACCCCTTAGTTACAAACCAAATAAATTCCATATCTATCTTTTGCAAGATAACTATTTTTTAACCATTTTCATCTACATGGCCCATGAGGATTTTTCTGTCTAATTGGCTTGTCATATAAGAGAGATGTGAGCAAGTGCATGCAACTCCCACTATCTATTATGACATGTAAGCTGACACAAAATGAGATCTGACAAGAAAGCAATGGCTTCAGGGTGAGAACTGGAATAAACACATATATAGGAGATGTCACATATACTTGTCTCAGTCAGGGGAGGGCCGAGTTCACTTAAAGATTTAGGTCAGTCCAAGAAAAAGCAAGCAATCAAAAAAGGAAAATAAATAAAATATTGTTATGTGGAATGAAAGCAGATCATTCCTCGTGTTTATCTGTGTGCTTTAAAGGTCTATCAATAATGAAGATTTTAGCAGCACTATAACAATTATCTGTGTAGCTCCGATCATAACTGAGCTACACATATTTTACACATTGAGCCTCCAAAATCATAGACTTTAAGCTCAATTTCACCTTTCCGATAATGATATTATAAGGCAGAGAATGTAAATGTGCCAAACTATTTTTGTTTTAACTTTGTCTCTTCAAACAGTTCTTGCAATGGGTTTGATTTACAAAAAAGGCTGTTCACTTTGCAAGGGAATTTTCCCCAGAGCTTAGTGAATGAGCTCTACTAACTTCCATCATCTAATTATGTGCCAGCAAAAATGCACTTTTTCCATTTTTCTTGCAGCTGATTGGGTATTCTCTGCAAAGTGAAACATCATTTACAAAGTAAACATCCTATTTGCCTTTGGTAAATCAACCCCAGTGTGTTTTGTAAAGTTGTGCATACCTAACTATGCTAATCAATTTTTCACTACAAAACTTTAGCAGAGCATGTATGTTGTGTGTCACTATTTCTCCAATGATAATGATTAAAATATTATTGTTTGCCAGTGGGTAAAAGCATAAATAACCCTAGACTCCCATCTGTCCTTCCAGCCCCAGATCCAATCGCTGACAAAATCATGTAGACTTCACCTCCGCAACATCTCCAAGATATGACCTTTCCTAACCCCGGAAACCACTAAGCAACTTATTCACTCCCTTGTCATATCACGCCTCGACTACTGTAACTCCCTCCTCATTGGCCTACCTCATCGCAGGGTATCCCCCCTCTAGTCTATCATGAATGCTGCTGCCAGACTCATCCACCTCACTAACCATTCTGTATCCGCCACCCCTCTCTGCCAATCCCTCCACTGACTTCCAGTTGCCCAACGAATAAATTTCAAAACTCTGACAATGACATATAATGCCATCCACAACACTGCCCCAATTTGCATAGCCAATCTTATCTCTAAATATCACCCAAACCGTACACTCCGCTCCTCACAAGACCTCTTACTCTCTAGCTCCCTTATCTCCTCCTCCCATGCTGGTCTCCGAGACTTCACCAGGGCGTCACCCATCCTCTGGAACTCCCTACCCCAATCTATCAGATTATCACCTATTCTACTTGCCTTTCGGCGTTCACTGAAAACCTTTCTCTTCAGGGAAGCCTATCCCGCCCTCTGCTAATTCTGGTATCCTCTACTCTTCTAACCACTCCATCCCCCACAGTGACTACCTACTGTACCACTCATCCCGCCCTCCTAGATTGTAAGCTCCAAGGAGCAGGGCCCTCTAATCCCTCTTGTATTGAACTGTATTGTTACTGTATCGTCTCCCGCTATAATGTAAAGCGCTGAGCAAAACGTTGGCGCTATATAAATCCTGTATAATAATAAATATCACACCTACGTAAAGAAATACAACGGAAAACATTAGTAGGAAAGCTGGACTCCAAGAACTGACAATGAAAGGCAACAGCAATGACAGTATGGAAAAGAACACAAGTAATAAATCAAATATATTATATTTGAGGGAAGAAGCTCAAAGAACATGACAAAGAAGACTTCTGCCATTGATGTAATCAAAATCACATCACTGACAAACCTGTGTAGATTATTATTAATATTGACTGCCAGTTTAAACATAGTGCAGACAACACCCCCTTAGCGCAGCATCCCAACACAGGGAAATGTCTGCGCTATACACCCATAGGCCACAAAAATGGCCTGTGCAGTGCATGCAGTTGAAAGCAATGGAATCAACTACAGTACCGCAACAGTGTAACAAAAAAGTTTTAAAGTTGTAAGCAACTGAGAGATCTCTACCAGCTTATCAGCTTAGGTCCTAGAATATGTAGTAGGTCATTTGCTGGAGAAATATACAATAAAGTAAGTTTTAGTAAAAGGTAATTCATCATATAAGATCAAACAAATATGCTTACCATAAAAGCATTGCTATTTTAAAGTGTTACTAAACCCAGGACACTGCATTCACTGTATCTGGTCTCCCACAGTACAGACAACATGGAAGTGCAATTATTTTAATAAATATAAACTGCTAAATACCTTTTCTCATTAGCAGTTAAAGCAGCCTTGTGACTTTTATCAATGTCCAGCAGAGAACTGGTTACAGCTTGTAGGAGGAGTTTTCATTTTCCCCTGATTGTCCTATGAGGCTGCATGACCCTTGACCCTCTGTCTGGACAGCACTGACTTGCCCTGTGCTGATCACATGCACTTTCCCAAGAGAAAAAATACCTCTCTAGCAGTACACACCAAACTGAGCATGTGTAGAATGACTGTACACGATATGTCTTATCGGGAGATAAGAAGGGGACACCGGAAGAAGGGGAGGATCAGAGAAGACAGGATCAAACAGCGCTTTTACACAATGCAGAGTATTAACCCCTTAGGTTCCACACAGTATAACAAGCATTTACTGCATATACAGACTGATTTTACTGTTGTGGGTTTAGTAACACTTTAATAACAGTTGTTCAGACGTGCCCCACAACGGCAGCAACTTAGCTCCTCCGTCTTCCCCTATGGCAGGGATGTCAAACTGGCGGCCCTCCAGCTGTTGCAAAACTATAAGTCCCAACATGCATCTGCCTTTGGGAGTCATGCTTGTAACTGTCAATCTTGCAATGCTTCATGGGACTTGTAGTTTGGCAACAACTGGAGGGCCGCCAGTTTGCCACCCGTGCCCTATAGGGACTCTCCCAAGGTGTAATTACATTACAGGTGGATCATTGTTGATCACAC